GAATTTTCTTGCACGGATCAAAAAGTAAGACTAACTATCATATTTTAATAATCAGAATCATCTTCTCGTCCGTAAGTAAAATATTATGTGTGTAAAAATAAAATTGAATATCATGCGTGTAATTTTCTCTATTTATTTAAAACTATGCATAAACAAAAATATAAATACAAAATTTTCGTGTTTATTGATAAATACATAGAAATTGTATGGTATATATGCAAATTTCTCAAGCACTTGGCACGCAGCCCGCATGCCCTTTTCCATGTATCGAATCCTTAGCAAATCGCGACTTCCCGAAACACAACCACCGACTCCAGAACGTTCCGGAAACGATTCTCTTCTCGGTATCTCCTCTTTCGCGGAGATATTTTTCACTCCCTATAAATTCTGCTCGCCAGTTCCCAAACGCTGATGATTGCATCGGCTCAAGTTCATCCATGGCTGCTGCAGCGGAACAGCGACGATCGGCGGCCTCCTTCTACTCCATTCTTGGTGTCTCGCGCGATGCCTCCCTCGCCGAGATTCGTGCAGCTTATCGTCAGCTTGCAATGGTATGGTACGTCGCTGCTTCTTCTCAGCTTCTCTAATTTTGCTTTCGTTGTTTTAATCCAAAGTTTTGATGAAAATGGTTGCAGACATGGCACCCGGATCGGTGCGGGAGAGAGCGGGTTCAAGTGGCTAATAGACGGTTTCAGCAAATCCAGGAAGCTTACGAAGGTATAATTATATTAATTATTGTTATTATTTGCAAATTCGTTCCAGGTTTAGTTAGCTGGACTGATAAAGATGTAAAATCTGTTATAGTTCTATCCGATGAAAGAAGGAGGGCTATGTATGATGCCGGGCTTTATGATCCGCGTAATTGTGAACAAGATGGAGCAGAGGACATTGAGGTAAGGATTAAGCGAATTAATTTTGATTTTAATTAGCTGAATTATAATTTTTTGTGTCGTTGGGCTTAAGTCTTCCAAAGCGGAGGTGATTTGACAATTTTATAATTTTAAAATTCTGTGAAGGGTTTCTGGGATTTCGTTC